GGATTTAAGAATTATGATATGGCACATACAGTGGGTGTGTCAATAGATTTAAGAATTATGATATGGCACATACAGTGGGTGTGTCAATTGATTTAAGAATTATGATATGGTACATACAGTGGGTGTGTCAATAGATTTAAGAATTATGATATGTCACATACAGTGGGTGCGTCAATTGATTTAAGAATTATGATATGTCACATACAGTGGGTGTGTCAATTGATTTATGAATTATGATATGTCACATACAGTGGGTGTGTCAATTGATTTAAGAATTATGATATGGCACATACAGTGGGTGTGTCAATAGATTTAAGAATTATGATATGGCACATACAGTGGGTGTGTCAGTGGATTTAAGAATTAAGATACGACACATACAGTGGGTGTGTTGTGTCATGTCAATAGACTACGGATGTTCCACTGGCTTTACATAACACATAGTTTGGAAGTTACAAATATCAAAAAAATCACTTTAGTGAACATAAACAGAAAAGATATGGCATTAGCCAAAATGTATCTTAATTATTTGTGAATTGAAGAAATAAGTCAGGAACACCATTTTTTGTTATCATTTTTTTGTCAATTTATTTATTTTACTATTTTGGTTAGTTTTTTAATTGCAGGAAGAAGTTTTTTTTGGCAGTTTGTTGATCATAACAGTTATTTATAGTATTGTTGTGTGTATAGCCCAAATGTAGCTACACAGAACACTATTTAAACAATAGTACTGATCTTCACATGATACAAGATAATAAAAGCAGCACTGGCGACTAACATACCATAAAATGTAACAGATTGAACCAGGCATGCAAGGATAAACTATAAATCACTCTATTTCATTATTTCTTAATTTCCAGTGTCCCATAATCATCACTGTATGGCCATTGTATATGATGCCTGTTTATTGCCCACTGACAGCTTACAATTCAATTTTTCCTCCTTCTCTTTAACGTTGTAAATCAAACTAAGTTAACATGCAGTAATAAAACACAATGTCGCCAGGATTTCTTTATCCAGGCACCACAAGCTGTTGCAAGCATTTTCTTCCCTGGAATTTAATTTTGTTGATATATTTTGGTAGATTTCGAGAAAGTCAAGTCAAATAATAAAATTAAACAGACACAGCTCTTATTAAAATTGAAAATACCAACTCGCAGTGGAATGTAAAAACATGTTTATGTTTTGAGATGAACAAAGAATACTACATTTACACTATTGACCTAACACAAGACCAGATTTCTAAATGTGAGGTCTGCAATGTGTTGTCATATGAGATGGGGACATCATGCAGGCACCCATGGGGCATCCACTCATTCAATGATAGTTCTGGCTTCATCATTAGTTGAACACACACCTAATGACTAGATCACATTGGCTCCAGTCAGTCTGACTTGAGATGGAAAATATATGGCTCTTGTAACATGCTCTAATCAAATTGTTTTCAGTGCGACACAATGCTACTATAGTGATAGTGGTAAATGACAGCAATCATCATGCAGCCAGGCTCCAACATTAAAAAAACCTTGGTTACGTGTAGATTGCGTATCTCGGGCTATAATCACACGGATCAAAACTTTTTCAAGCAATTCAACAGGATTGTGATTTAAAGGCAGGATTAGATGAGTGATACATAAATTGAGATTATGTCAGTGTGATGTCATAGATGACATAGAAGAATATTGTATATATGATGTAGTGATGTCATTAGCATTGACACAGTGGTGACTACGACACCATAAAAAAATTAGACATTTCTCAGTGTAAAGCTAGCTCAAGAAGAACACTGATGATGTCTCTACTATGTCAACAGCAGTAATTATAAAAGCTCCTTAAGTCAAGTGTTTCTTTTTAGTACACATCACATAGGTTTGCTTTCCAAACTAATACATTTTATTTTAAGTGATGTCTATTACATACCCACCCCTAAATGAAATATGCAACATTCTGCTGATACTAAAGTACAATGCAAAATGATAGAATACTCAGTTTTAGCAAATTTTGTATTTCTGCTGAAATTGGGTTTTTAATCTGATTACCGATAGTAGTTTTGTATACTCATTTTAAAGCACGGTAGCCGTCGTGCTGCGCAGTGCGTTTTACAACTGATTCAACTGTACATATTGACAACATTTACAGTTCAAAAATTAGCAATTATGTTGCCTCATGACTATTTCTGTGTGTCAATCACGACATCCCCACACTAATAGAACCAGTTAATACATTCTAAACTGACATCGTTTCTACTTCAGTATCCACTTCAATCTCATACCATAAATGCATTTTAAGTGATATAGCTTCATTTGAATTTTCCCTGCTTGATTAAAAATTACTTAATAATGTGAATAGCCTCATTTTCACAGGAAGTTATTTTAAATCTTTATTTGGGTTACTGCATAATTATATTTTTCACTGATTTTTTTATAAATTTTATGCAAACCAGAGAGAAAATTGTCATTAGATTTACACTCACAGGGAAAACAAATTCCAGTGAATTTAAATTTTTCTACTAACAAATTGAGTGCTGCAATATTCATTATTTATTATGCTTACCAGATACTGTTTTGAATGTCCAGCATCAAGCCTGCGTCTGTCATATGAAGTCTGAAAGATATAAAGAGAATCAATATTTATAGCTACATTGCTTGTACATGTGTGTAATATTCAGTAACACTGTTACAGGTAATAAGTGTATTGTGTTGTCAATTCAACATGTCCATCAAATATGTTGTACACAAAGCTTAACGTCATCAACATTGCAACACCAGTAGAATAATGTTGTTCACTAAGCTCAACATTTATTAATGTTGTTCACTAAGCTCAACATTTACTAATGTTGTTCACTAAGCTCAACATTTACTAATGTTGTTCACTAAGCTCAACATTTACAACAAGTAGATTAATTTTGTTCACTAAGCTCTGTGGACGAATGTTGAACTTTAATAGTATGCAACATTAGGAGCTACTAATGTTGTTCACAAAGCTCTAAATCATCAACATGAAATAAGCATATGAGTAATATATTACAGTAGTTAATATGCATTCATATAACTTTCACTATGTATGACTTGAAACAAATAATCACAAAACATGTTAGTGTATTCATACAAGTTCACTCTTAATTAAAAAGTATATATTTCCTAGTGCAGTGAAATGTTTTTATATGGCTATAATATCATAGTATTGAAGCACACACTAGAGTGCAGCAGCACAGCTCTTGGCAACAACACCTGCATGCTTTTTTCACCAATTAAAAACTAGGTTTTGCAGCCATTGTGTTTGCTCCACATTGAAGCAGACTACCAAAGGCATTTTAGTTGACTCATTGGTCCCAATAGACATAACCAATACCTCGTTTATGAAAACAGGAAACAAGTTACGAGGCACATTGATATCATCAGTACTTTGCAAATTTAAGGCATTTTTAAGAAATCGTCCTCCAACTTTAATAGATGAGGAAAATAAATTACAAGTCTACTCAGAGTACAAATTTGGTGAGCAATTACCAAAAAGAGTAGTGTAGTTAAACTATGTAAGCCTTGCTTTGAGTGAAGTTACAGTGAAGTGTTGTAATCAAGTGTTGTAAGATGTATAAGTGGAGAATCATTAAAAACTGATTCAGTGAATTGCCATGTGCATGTACACCCAATGTCAAGGAAAAAAATAAAACTTCTAAACTTATCTTGGACTAATAGAACTTGTGAAATAAAAATTATATCATGCATTCATGCAGCTCATCTAGCCCTTATTGACTTGCATGATTTCTGTTAAAATGATGATTTTAATAAATGTATGCGCCAAAGTAATGAAAGGAACACATGGAAATTATGAGACAGTAGATGAAATCAAATCAACATGCTGTGCCTCATGTATGCACACTGCACAGAACAGCGTAATTTTTCCGCAAAATATACCAGTATCATTTTATCTAAACCAACAATTCTATTTAATTTATACTGAATCATTAAAAAATATGAATAATTTTGAACATGGCCAAATCTTCGTCATTTGCATAAAAGCATGCAATATTTATCAAGAAAATACGACACTTGACACACAACCTATTAGTTAACATCAAAATGCATTTTCCTTTTTTTCTTCCTTAAACACAGACAAGGTAAAAAAACAAAACAAAAAAAACACATATCTGGCATAATACTGTGAGCACTTCATTTCAGATAATGAGTTTGAACAAATTTGAATATAAATTTCAGAAACACTATAAAGAATACAGACATCAGGCAAAAAGAAAAGCTCATTACTTAATTCCAACCATCACTCGTTGCAGGTCACCGAGCCAAGTGAGTTCAACTGACCTACTGAAAAGCTAGAAAAAAAATATCCGAGAGAACCTCAGGAACTCTTTGAATCAATTTTCCATGCTGAATTTCACCAATTACAGCCATTACTTGAAAAGGACAAAAAGAGTATTCAGTGGGCATAATTGCATTTGCTGGCTGCTCTTAAAACTCAATTTTTCTCTCTCCGAAGACTTAAAATAAGGTAATTTTACACACACATACAGACAGGGTTAAGACAGGTAGAGTGTAATGAATTATGCAAACTATTTACACAGTGCTGCAGTGATTTCCTCTTGGGAGAGCCAATCACATCATTCTCTTATAAGAAACGAACATTTAATGATATCGGACAGGTCTCATTGGGACAAGAACTGTCACTTCCAATTCTCTGAGAATGCTTATCAGCTGGATTGGATGTCAACCACACAAGAGAACCAACATTTGTCATAAATACAAAATCTATTGTAACTAATCGGCAATACATATCTCCCAGTCAGCCTACAGCATATTAAGCTAAGGCATACATTTACATAGCGACACAGAAAACTCACATTATACACGGTGAACACAACTTTACAAGGACAACGAATCAATAAAACATGTTCCAGCCTGGCAATAAGTACATGACATTATATAATATAACTACTTAGTTCAAATTAACGATGCAAGGCAAGGCTGCCCTATATATCAACTGACCTCTTATATTGGGTAACATGTTTCATAATGATACCTCACCTTTTGTTTGCACAAGCAATACTGTATCATTGTAGAACAAATGGAAGCACATAAATTCAAGTTATGAATTCCAGGAGTAAATGTTAGGCTATGAGTAAAAATAGGATGGATCTAATTGTCATGTATACAAGACTCACTCTATTTCATTATAGACAAACATAGCTAAAATGTGAATAATAGTTTGAAGAAGAAAATGATACAAAAATTACCAAAACGGACAGACCAATGTATCATAATGATCAATTAGAAATATAAATTGATTGAATAATAATAGAACTAGCTGGTTTACGCAGTTATGAATGCAAACTAAATATTACCATAAAAAATTGCCATCTACCAGTACTTGTTTTGAAGTTTTGAATCTTAATATTCTAGTAGCAAATGAGATAATGTTTTGGAATAAACTTTGGATAACCAAACTACTTTCAGAAGTATGAATATCAGGGACAACAATCTTAACCAATGTTTGAACAATTTTATATTCAAAATCGTTACCAAGTTTTTGTATTCATAGAAACAAGTTCAGGTTTCCCCTCTTTTTAATTTAATATTTGATAAAACATTTTGCTCAGTAAAATATCAATAATTAGTATGGGTTTTAAAAATGTCAGTATAACTATTTATAACCAGTTAGCTGTGTCTATCCTTATGAGACAACAACCAACCAGCAAACACACATCAGTAAGTAAAGATGAGGAATGCAATGAACTTATCAATATCAAAACTGATCAAATCTAACAATAGATGAATTTGGGGAAGGTAAAAACTCAGTATGATAACCTGAACATCTTCTGTAAACATAGTTGTCTTGTCTAAAATTAGATACAAAGTATTAGAATACCAGTATACGAACATTAATCTACAGGTGGTGGCATTCCTTGCACTAAACTGATAGCAATCAACTAAAATGTGTCAACTAGATACAAACTTTTTAATGAGGTAAACATTATTGATTTTATAGGAATTATATTTCGTGACACTGCTGTTTCTCAACCTCTTGGAGTGCACAATGGAACCATTGGCACGCTATTGTTGATGTAATAATACTAGACATACCAATCAATAAGGAAATCTGCTATGAGACAAAACTTACTGTGATATAATGCTTTAAATTATTAATTTATTTCAAAACATTGCTGGATGCATAATAGTGTTACAAGGAATGTGTCCCATATACATTACAAAACATGATGATGGAAAATAATCAAAATTCAACAATTCATCAAAATTTTAGATTTTTAAATTTAAAATTTTTTATTCAGTTGAACCATTAGAGAGATAAGTAATGTAATCTGTACTGAAGTAACTTTAAAGTTTAGTGAACATATGTATTTGGAGTGCATAAAATATATTTGACTTTTATGTTGCTCTATTTGAATATAGCTGGGAGGTCATAGTGCAAGTTCGAAGGACTTCAAACAAAATTTAGCTCCAATAATATATTTTTTTTAATGGAATGAAAAGCACAAATTGATATATTAGAAACTAATATTTTAATTTGTATTGCCATGTTTAGCTCCATAGACTACCAGATGAAGACAGAGTAAAAAAAAATCTCACACTGATCCGCTATGCTACTTCCTGTTTCAGATGATGACAACACAAAGTGAATATTAGTTTGATGTGACTACTAATGGCCTGCAGAAAAGTCAAAGCAAGTTCAATCTGAAAGCAAATGAGTTTTTTATGTAATATATTCTTTTCTGATGTTAGTTTTTTTTAATTTTAGTAATGACTAACTTGGAGACTTTGATGAAATGATGAAAATATGTCTTGAAATTACAGTTGTATCAAATCCATTTTAATAGCACTTTATCTATCATCAGGACAGGTAAAATTGCCTTTGGGACTAGTGAGTTTAAAAGTTAACGTCAAGACCTATTTTGCTCAATACCATCCATTTTCTGTTCAATCAATTAATCAATATATTGAGAGATCAATCAAATTGGTCAGTCAGTTGATCATTTAACTTATTATTATACATCTGTCACCGTAACGACATAAGTTATATATAGCATGCCGTAATTTTGCGGTATTTTACGGGGTCTTTTCATCCTACCATACTAAGAAATGCGAATTCCAAATATGGAATGATTACGCACTTAAGCAAACAAACATGGTTGCCACAGAGTTTGACCGGACTCCACACAAAGAAATTCGCTGATTCTGTTCTAAACATTTTGGATTTTGGCATTCCCACTGTGTATCCTTGGAAGGAAAAGATGTCTAATAATAAGGTTATTACGAGAACACTTCAAAGTATGCACTCAGACAATACGCTGTGCATCGACCTCCGCTGCGTGTTGGTCGATACTCCAGCTGTACTGTCTTCATGCATATTTTGAAGTATTCTCGTAATAATCTCATATTATTCGCATTTGCCAAATGCCGAAATACTTCCAAATTAGCATTTGTAGCATGTTCTGTTCCAGTAGGGCGTACTTAATAGTGCCGTCTAATGCACATGTTAGAGATAATTCACTTGGTACAACAAGACAACATAAATTTGATGTAACAGATGAATCTTCAGGGAGATGTGATTGTGTTACGATAGTATAAAATGCGGAG